TATGGATGGTTCTTTTTCCTGCCATGTCCAAAAGTTGAATCCCTCAACATCACACGTCTGTTTATGTGTGTCCAGGAGTCGTACGTGTGGAAGATGTATCAGGAGCGCTGCTGGGATTTCTTCCCGGCAGGAGACTGCTTCCGCAAACAATACGAAGATCAGCTTGGATAGAGCAGATGCATCCTCCTTACCTCTATCTGTCCACATGAAGGGAACTCCTGGAGCATGTAGTCCTACCTACAGTACAGCTGCTGGACGACAACACACACAAACACAGAGTCATCCCTGCATCGCCGGGGACTCATCTGAGGAGAAACAAAGAGAGAAAAAAAAACTTTTTTTTACTCTAAAAAGGAGAAATGTCTCCCGCCCCTGTCAGACGTACCCTTGTCACCGTCGGTACAGTACAGAGTCTATGAGGAAATGACCTGGAACTTGCCCAGACATTTTGGTTTTCTTTCAGTTTTTAGGACTCGTTTTTTTTTTTTGACAGCGTGTTGCCTTTTACTCCACATGACCCCGAATCATTGCACAAATTTTTTTCTTTCCTTTTTTTTTTTGAGAAATACTGGGTTGTGTGGGGTTATGGGACAATGTGTCAGTTATATTATGCACAATGTATGAATGTTGAACTTGAGACTTAATGCCAAAAGAAAAAAGCAGAGGAGTATAGTAGATATACATAGTGCGCAAAAATGTGATTTACGAAAAAGTTTTTTCCAGATGTTGTTAACATTGCATATTGAGAAGAAGTTTGTAGAATGAAGTGGCAAAAAAAAGGTTTATTATGTAGGATTTAAGAAAAAAAAATGCCTAAATTTCTTCATGAAGTGCCTTACAGTACTGTATCTACATTACAATGAAGCTATGCAAACACTTTTGTTTTTTTCTTTATTGTATGTAAGTACAGTAGTTTTCCTGGAGCAGTACCAAGTCGCTGTCCGGACGCGTAGTTTGTGGCGGAACGTTTTCCTTCGAACGTGGAAGAACAGCATCGGTATGATTTGTTTTGTTGCTGAATGCAGCCTAACTGCAAATGTTCAAGATACACAGTGTATAAATGACACAAGAGAATTTACTGACACCTTCGAACAAGAACAAAAAATAAATAAATTGCTATTGTATGGCCATTTGTATGTAATAGCTTTGCTGATCTGTGCATTTCTTTTGATGG